TTATCATCCTTGCAGAGTAATGTTTTATGTACGTGTAAGATAAATTGACTAATTCTCACAGAAAAATGAAACTTTTCTGTTTTATTTTTGTGAGCCAAGTTAGCATGAAATTCTAACTTTTCTTTTTGGTAACGATTTTATCAAACCTCAGCCTAGCAAAAAGTGACTGGAAGTGTATCTCTATCTAGGAATCTTGGTAAAGCAACACCATCCCTAGATAATGATGATGTCAAAGTATTGAAAGTGTATTTAGATCGATGCTTCTGTGTCTGGGCTGCCCAAATGAAGGCTAGTGTAAATTTATGTCACCAACCACAGCAGGCCCTCAGAGCCGCAGGACAGTCACAGTGTGGGTCTCTCCTGATGCTCCCAAACCACAATTTGAAATGTTCTCCACTTTTCTCAACTTGTCTTTTTCTTATTGACTAATAAAATCTCTCTATATTAAGAACTTGATCATGTTATTTGCAATCTTTTCCCAGATTTATTTGCCTTCTATTTTAAAAAGGTGTTTTAAATTATCACAGCAATCCATATTTTCTTTGTGTTTTTCCCCCACTGTTTTCGTGTTTTCTCATTTATTCATTTATTTGGAAAGGCAGACATGATTCTCCCTTCATGGAATTTACAGCATATATATATATTTTTTTATAGTGTTACTTAAATTTTTTTGCATTTTTTTAGTATTTTCTTAGTGAGTTAATTTAAACCCATCTGGAATTTATTTTGTTGTATCATATGAGGTGTGCCTATAACTTACGTCAATTTTTTTTACACATGTGGGCATTTTTTCTGACCCTATTTATTAAATGTCCCTTTCCCATGGTTTTTAATTTTCCCTTTTAAATGAAAAAGTCATTAGTTAAATGAGTCTTTCTGACAGGGAGAATTTCCCCACATTGTTCTTCTTCTCCCCCCGTAATTTCTTACCGCTTCTTATTTATTTTTGATATAAATTTTAGAATGATTCTGTCGGGAGCCGTAACAATATTCACTGGGATTACGACTGCATTTGTCCTCTTTTAAATTAATTGGGGAAAATATCCATCTTTACTGTTTTCAGTCTTCCCATCAATGACCATGATCTATTTCTATAAAATGTTTTAATGTCTCTCAGGAAATACTTGTGGTTTTCCTGTTGCAAATTCTGTACAATTCTTGTTGGGATTTGTCCTTGAATTTTATATTTTTGTTTGCTATTAGGAAATTAATTTTCTTCCATTCTGTTTTCTAATAACTTAGGGATTAATTCTTCTATATTTAACTTGTTTCTGGCTACTTTACTTAAAACTTGAATTAATTCTAAGGGTTTCTATGTATGTGGTATATTTCTTGCAAAGAATTTTGTCATTTCATTTATAATAGTTCATTTTTTTAATATTTCACATGTCACTGCATTGGGAAAATCTATCAGAACAATGTTAAAAAACCATAGTGATAATAGACATCTTTGCTCTATTTCCAGTTTTAACAGGAATAACATCAATATTTTTGCATAGCTTCAGTTTTATCATCTAAAATGACGATGATAATGTCTACCTTTGTTCACATGGTTAAGAAGCAGAAATAAGGAAATGACTGTCAAACAATTTATAAATATAAGGTGGTAATGTGATTTATTTCTAAGATAGACTAGATTAATAGTCTTAACAGTGTGAGACTCAGAAGGCATTCGTTTCTCTAGAAACCACCCATTTCCTGTTTTCACAGATAAACTAAAGACTAACACCGACTTCCCAGATAGAGTTCTTTCCTTCCCTGTTAACTGTTTACAAGTGGTGGAGTCCTTCTTAGGTGGGCACAGAAAACCAGCATGAGAGCTTATTAAAACATCCACTGGTCTTGTCCAAATTCAAGTTCACCTTAGATTCCAAGCCCAATCATCTTTGGGATGCCTGTTCTACTTGGTGGTAACAACAAAAGGAGTGACTTCGGATCTTATCCCGTGTTCAGTTTCTGCAGAGCGGTTTCTGTCTTTGAAATTGACAGTTGGGAAATTGGGGTTGCACAGGAGTGAATCCGCTGTCTCCACCCTATTTCATGCGGGGGGAGATCCTGGAAGGAGATGCTGTGTGGCTGTAACTGACCTTCCCTGTTTATTTCATCTGCACAGGCACCACGCCCAGGGTGGAGGCTACCCTGCTCTACCAAGTGAACCATCACAGTGGAGGTGGGTGGGCAGTGCGTCCTCCTGGGACCCACTCACACCTAGAATCCATCCATGGGCAACTGAACTGTTCGCCGGAATTGCCTGCAACTTCCCCTGTGATTAGGCTTCTAAGCCACTAGTTAGATTGCTGTGCTCTTCTTAATGTGGTTTTTCAGCAACTCAACATATTTGTTCTTAAGCAATTTAGACACCAGTCGGTGTTTGTAAAGACTATTTCCAGGAAAAGTCTCTGGAGAGGCATGTAGTGTGCGACCATTTCATGATAAAGTGGGGATGGTGGCCATCAAGAGCTCATGCATTTGCTTCCCTGCCACCATTGCAATCTCGTCGGATGCCACTTTCCACATTGGTAAGTGGGTTGCTCTCTGCTTAAAAATGACGACCTGGCTCCCCTGCTTCTTAGTGGAGCCAGTAAAGCTGGTGACAGTAAAAAGAAACAACGCATAATGTTCATGATACTGCTGTGTGGGAGTCTGCTTAAGACTTGGGCCCTAAATGGTTTTTAATCCCAGGATGCACTGATTGTGCTAATGTGAGAGAGGCCAACCGGCTGTTATAAAATCATTGCCGATATGAGCAGAATAAAAAATGGTTAAAGGGATCTTGTTACAGCTTCTGTTTATTCCATAAGGGCTTGAGGAAAGCAAAGAGGCAATGATTCTGTTTGGGTCTTGTTCTTGAAAGATGACCTTTTACGTAGGTAAGTCAAAAGTTTAAAGAAGTAAACAGTTTAAATACAGCCAGTTTTAGTAATTTTTCCATTGTTTGACTTAACTGCTTCCTAACGTGATACAAAAACAACCTGCGGTACCTGACCAAGGACAAAGAATCCTTAAGATAAAAAAGCTGTAAAACCTTCTGAGGGCTCGTCTCTAAAATATCGTTTTGATTTTGGGTCTAGAGAAGGGCTCTACATCTCAAATTACAATAAATCTCTAAAAGTCCGATAGTGATTTATGCCAGCTTGTGCTATAATGGACAACATTGCACCATCCCACGAAGTTATGATTAAGGAATTGGGGGAAGAGAGTGAGTGTTATTCTGGACTTTATTTTGGTACCTCGCAGAGCTCAGTGTTACCACAATCATTGGTTTTCTGAAATATGTCCCTATGCATTATTCTGATCAGATTACTTGCATTGCACAATCCTCTGGTGAATAACAGGACAATAGCGCAAAATAAATCTCTCTCTGAAATTTAATCTCCGTGTCTGTACACTGTTAGGAGGAACATCTACAGTCCTCCGATAAGGAGCTGTATATCTCCCCTAACTGAACTGGGGTTTGTTCTTCAATTATCTGCGATGGAAATTCACAAACAGGCAAATGACCGCATGGCTGATGTTTATGTTACGAACACGGTGTTGAAACACAGCTGATGTTCTCACAAGCCCCGTGTGATGAAATTCTAATTTCTTTTGTAAAAATGCCACAGCAGATCGGGTTGGATGGCTGTCCCCAGTGCGTTACCCTTTCACCTCCAAGAAGTTTCTGGGCTAATTCTTTGAAAATCTTCCTCCCCAGGGAGGGGTGGCTGTGTAGGTGGGACCATCCCTTAAAATTTTGCACCTTTTCCTTTGAAGCTCTGTGAGGCTCCCCTCATCTAAAGGGGATAAACTGTTTTGTCTTTAGTTGTAGAATTCCTCCCGGGGAGTGGAGAGTGCGCCAATTGGGAAAACACAGGATACTTGTGCCCTGTGACCCTGCCTCTTGTTTCTTGAGCTGGGGGGCATGTTCTTGCTGAAATGAGTGATGGGAGTGGGAGAGGTCTGGCACACACCCTGTAAAAATAGGACCTGTGCTCCCAGCTGAAGCCCTGGGAGCAGTCTGCTTCCTATGCACCGCTGTATCACAGCCAGAACCAATGCTGTGGGCCTGGGCCAATAGCAAGGCAGGAGCACAGCTCTCGTTGCCCCTTGTTGATGAGGAAACATCACATCTTGAAGTCATTTTTTCCTCTCTTTCTAGAAATCCTATTGTCAGAATGTTACCAGACCTGATTTGGGTGTGGACCTCTTGGAACAGACTCATATCCTGGGGAAGTATCCAGGAAATGTTTATTCTTTATTTCAAAATTAGTTTTTGAAAAAAAATTATAAAAGAAAGACACGTTCACTATAAAAGGAAGCGAAGAGTACAAAATAGGCTAAATTAAAAGTGCGCCCCCTGCCCCCTGCCACCAGCCCACTTCCCATGTGTCTGGGTCCTCTCCCCCGAGGGTGTGTGACAAGGACTTTCTTCTATCCTGTCACAAGCGTGTGCAGGGCACGTACACAAGAGGAACCGCATTTTACGTACCCTGTGCCTTCTTGTTCTCACCTGATATATCCCGGACAATTTTTTTTTCATATCTACACGTACCTTCAAGCTGATGGAAATGAATCCTGCTTAGTATTCCAGAAACAACTTTAATTTGTCCTCTACTCATAGATGTTGAAGCTGTTTCCAGTCTTCCTCCTTTACAGACAAAAGGAAAGCAAGAAAAAGGATAGTGCTTTAGACCAAGTTTGGTATTAAAAAAGACTCAGTTCAAATCCTAACTTTATCACCCTCCGGCCATGCCACCCATCTCCTGTAAGCCAGTCTCCTCATCTGTAAAATTGGAGTAAAAGACACCCATGTCACGTAGTTGTTGCGAGAATTAAAATAACTCACGTAGAGAGCAAAGACCAGGGCATTGAGTACAGAAAGCTTTCTCTGTATCTCATCTGGAATAAACACGCCTCTGTGTGTGTGTGTGTGTGTGTGTAAGAGAGAGAGAGAGAGAGAGAGAGAGAGAGAGAGAGAGAGAGAGAGAGAGAGGCAGAGAGAATCTTTGTGAGAGTCAATGAAGTGAGTGCATGGTAAGATTCAGTCTCCCTTGTGGAATTGTTGGGTCAAAGCCCAGGTGCGTTTTAAATTTGGGGGACTGTTGCCACATCGCCCTTCTCAAAGGAGCACCAAGTCCAGCTATTACTAGGAAGTACCAGTGCCTCCTTCCCATACTACTGCCAGAACTGGATGATTCACAGGCTGGTAAGCCTTTGCAAATCTGTAAGTAAAAATGGTACTTTTTGCTATGATGTGCATTTCTTGACTTACAGTTGTTTCATACTTTTGTGGTATTTCTTCTCTCGACAGCCCATCCATATTTGTGGACATTTTCCTTTTGGGTTGATGAAATTTAAACAAACAAACAAGATGTGTTTGTTCTTCTTACATTCTGGAAAACCCCCTTTCACCCGTCATAGGTGTTGTGTGCATTTCCCCCAGATTTTCATTTCTTTACTTAGTATATGGAAATTTACTCAGTATATGGAAATTTTGCTTCAGTGAATTTGACAAATTTTATTTAGGCATCACCATCAGTCTTCTTTATTTTATCTGGGTTTGGGGGCACAGTTATAACCACTTAGCTATTTCTAGCTTATTAGGAAAATCCATGCTTCTTTTAGAACTATCATGCTTCCATTGAGAAAGTTAAGTATTGTAGGTCTCTGGAACATATTCATTCTATTCATGTTCATCCCAACTGAAACTTTACCCCCACTGAATATCTCCCCGTTTCCACTCTCCTCCTGACAACCACCATTCTACTCTCTAGTTAACAAATCAGTATTGTCCACCTATAAATTGGTTAAGAGGGTGAATCTCATGTTGTGTTCTTACTACATATAGCCCCTGTAGTCAAACCAAACCAAACCAACAATAACAAAACCCAAAGGGGCAAGAGGAAGCTTTTGCAGGTGGTGGATATGTTTAGTGCTCTAATCGTGGTGATGGTTTCACAGGTGTACGCGTATGTTCAAGCTCATCAAATTGAATACATTAAGTATGTCCAAGTTTTTGTGTATAGCAATTATATCTCAATAAAGCCCGCACACACATGAGTATTTGGCCCAAGTGAAGTTAATTTTGGTGTAAAGTGTTGAAGTAGGGATTCATTTTCCCTTTCCTGAAATTGCTAGTCAGTCGTCCTGACACAATTTGTTGACCTGTCCATCCTTCTCCACTGTTTGAATGGTAGCATTAGAACATGAACATTTCCATATGTTTTATTCATTTTTGGAGACTCTATTCTGTTGCCTGGATTTACATAACCATTTTTATTTCTGTGTCATATTGCCTTTTTTTTTTAAAATTAATCATGCAGGGAAATTGATTTTTTTCTTTTAGTTCTAGTAGCTTCTTTTTCATTTTTCTTTTTAGTTCTATTTATTTTCTTTTAGTTCTACAGTTCTATGAATTTTAGCACACGGTGTGTGTATTAAGCTGCTTTAACTAACGTAGCTTTATCATATGTTTGTTAATGCAATTACTCTTCTCGTACGAAAGTTGTTGGCTCTTTCCATATGACCATTTTAGATTTTGGCCAATTAAAAAAAAATTCCTGATTTTTAAAATCTGTGAATTTTGGGAGAATTGATGTCTTTTCACTCTGGAGGTATGTCCTTCTACTTACTTAAGGCTTTTTTTATGTCCCTTCATTTAGTTAAATGTGTTTCCAATGTGCTTCTGTTTGCTTCTTACGTTTATACCTAAGACTCTCGTCTGATTTCTTGCTCTTGTGAATGAGAAATCCCCTTCCAGTACATTTTGAAATCTATTTATTATAAAGAAAAGTTATTGATTTTTCAATAACAATTTCATGACCAACAATATGAGTAATATTTTATTATTTCTGGTAGCTTTTTGGTATCTTGACTTTTTTTTCCTGGAGATACACTATATTCTCTGCTGTCCTAATTTGCATTATCTTTGCACGCTCTTCCTCCCACCTGTGTTTGGTTCATTCTCTTCTTATCCAAGTTCTTGAGTTGGAGATTTAGATTATTTTTCTTCAGCTTTTTAATACGCGGTCAAGGCTTTCTTTTTTCCTCCCAATACTGCTGTAGCTATATCCCCAATGATTTCATGTGTTGTTTCTTATTGGTGAGTTTTAAATATTTTTATTTTTATAGTTTATAATAAACAATATACTAAGTAGTAATAAGTAAGTAAACATTTATAATTACAATTTCTTTTGACTTTTTCTTTCTCATTCTTTGCCTTCTGTTTGGTTTTTTAAGGTTTTTCCTCCGCTCTCTTGTTCTTTCAATGTGGCTGCTTCACTTTTTAACCTGTCTATTTCTGTCCTCCTCTAGAAAAATACAAGGACTTAAGAAGACGTTAGTCATTTCTTATGTTGAATGAGTAACACTGGCCTCCAAAATGTCACCGTTAAGTATTATGTTGCCTTTTGGGTGTGTGTGTGTGTGTGTGGACATGTGCATGTGTGTGTGTGTGCACATTTGCACCATTTAAGGATGAATCTAACCTATTAAGTCTTTTTTTAAATCAGAAAAGAACTTTCAATTTTATAAACTTTCTTCATGAATCTGTTTCTCACATTCTTGTCTTTGATCTACTGATCAAAGATGAACAGATTTTCTTGTGTCAAATCATCTAAATGGTAATTGAAATCACATCTATTCTTTATTCATTTTTGCAAAACATACTTCCTGGCCATCACTCATGTGCTGTTCTAGGCAACAAGGATGAGGAAGGAAGACCATCACCCTCTCCCAGCTTGCTTTTGTACATGTCACAGACAAGAAGCCACAACTAAGCAAGACGTTTGACAATTCACCGAGGTCAATAGCACTTTGAAGGAAGTGAAGAGGGGAACGTGACGGAGACTCAGGCGTTGCTGAGAGCATCTTGAGGCTGTGAGTGTTCAGCACGAGGTGAAGGCTTTCAGGCGTCTTGCTTTGAAAGCTGCTTTACTCATCATGAATATTCTTTTGGTTTGCACACTTTTACTTCCAATCTTTCTGTTTCTTAACAGCATATATTTGAATTTTAATTTAATATACTTTTTAGGTGGTGAATTTATCCAGTTTACATCTATTGTGACAGATGTATTTTTAGAAGGTGTTATGCATGATTTTATGTTATTGTTTCCATTTTTTATGCTTCCTTTGTATTCTTTTTTTCGCTCACACAATCTGAGTGTGTGAGAGAGCCACAGAGAGAAAATTGGACCGGAGAGTGAGTCTGTCTAGTAAATATTTGGGAAGATTAGGTTTCATTTTAGTTTTTTTAGGGGTTACTTTTATAATGTTAAAAAATTGCTTATACGTCTATTTCTTGATTGACCAACTTCAAATACTAGCGATTTGTCCCAACCCATGAAAGATGGGGAAATATGTGGCTTTATATCCTCTTTTTTCCTCCCCATCTCTGGATTATTGTTAGTTTGTTACAATTTTAGTATTTTTGATTAAAATAAAACAGTATTGACTTTCTGCTTTATCCCCATAATTCTTACAATCTCTTTATCTTGATTCCATATTTAAATACATGCAATGCTCACCACCAGTTCATATTCTCATTCCTAATTTCCTTATTTGTTTTCCTAGATTGCATCTAGCCTTTTTTCCACGAAGGGCTCATGGATGCTATAACTGAGAAAAAGTTTTCTATTCAGCGTGGACACAAACAAATTGGCTGGGTGTGAAACCCTGGAGTCATACTTCTTCCCCCCAGTCTTTGGAGAATAGTGTTTCTCAAAGTGTGGTTTTCTGGGACCCCAGCAACCTCAGAATTAGCGGAGATTATCATACGGACCAGCAATTCCATTCTAGTGAGTCAGAGGTTCTGAATGTGGGTTTGGGAATACTGCTCTTTAAAGAGGCACCAGAGGCCCCCCCATCCGCAGCTGAGGTTCAAGCATCAGTGCAGCCTGAATTGTTCCGTGGGCCCCTGGCTCTGAACCGTGTGCACAAAATCTCGGGTCATCCAGGAATTTACCTTTGTTGGTTGATTTCCTTGTTCTGGTTCCTGTCCTTAAAGGTTTTCTAAAAAAAATATTTGAAATTCAGTCACTTCCTCCGGATACATCTTAGTGTTTATAGTCTTGTATCATTTTTTCCCACTGGATTTGGGGATCAGGTCTTTCCTTAGTTTAGGAAAGTTCCTTCCATGATATCTGGGAAGGATTTTATGTTCTGCACCATGTCCACTCCCTTTGGGGACCCCTCCTCCCAGCCCCTCTCTCTATCCTTACTCTGATTAGTTTTCTTCATAGCAGTTGGCAGTATCTGAACTTGGTTCATTTCCTTGCTTCTTCCCCGTCTTCATGATAAAGTCAGTTTTAGGGAGCTGGCGGCTTCCTCACTGCTTATGTCTGGGGTCCTGGAACAGCACCTGCACGTAGTCAGAACTCAATTATTCAAGAATTTTAGAAGGAACAAATGAATGACTGCGTGGAGAATGAATGAAGTAGCTGCATCTGTGTTAGAACTGACTGAGTCTAAGTTGGAACCTGATGTCTTTCTCTCATGTGTAACCCTTCATCTTTCCGTATCATTCTGTGAAGCTTCCATAGGCTTGGCATTGTCTGTTCAGATTCCTGCTGCTTTAATTGAGGTTTTCGTTTGTGTAACAGTTTTGTTATCTTAAATTTTATCCCCTTCTGCTATTCTTCATTTTTATCTCTATTTTGTGATGTTCTCTGTTTTGTCTCTTATAGTTCTTCTCTCAGGTATTTCTTCCATATTCCGTTTTCTCTTAAATTTATCTGAGACTATAAAGAAACATTTGCCTGGAAGATATTTTCCCCTGTCTTTGGAACAATTCTTTGAAAGCGTGTCCTTTGTCAGCCTTTTTCCTGACTGTTCTATTTTCACTTGGGTCATGTCTTTGTCAGACCTTTCCTGAGGAGCAGCGCTCATCTTCCAGTGGGAACGATCTTAATGGGCCCTGCTAGTTACTCAAGGGTAGTCTGAGCCACAGCACGGCGAGGGGGTGAGCTAGTGAAATAGTCACCTTGGTTTCTCATCCGTTCTGCATCATCGTCTAACTTAGGAGCAGGTTTTCCTCATTTTCCTGTTTTTCACTTTGGCATGCCCTTGGAATGCATCCCAGTAAACTCATATTTTTAGTGGGTATTTTGTTGTTGTTGTTGTTTAATTAGGGTTAAATGGTAAATAGTCACAAAACTGCCTGTCATTTTTCCTTCTCTCCTGTTTTTCTCCAGGTTGGAATTCAAAAGCCGAGAGTGTTTCCACAGAGGACCCATCTTCAGCAATGCCTTCCTTCCCATTCTGCTTCCTCCCAGTTTCTTCAAGACCCTCTCATTTTCAGTGACATCAGTTTGCTGTCCTGGCTCTGCAGAGAGATGCAGGGTCCACCCTAGATGTGGTTCTGTGTGGGTGTCCACCATCACGTGTTATTTGAGGTTGCCATCATTTACTACCTTCACTGAAGCGGGAGCTCATTTTCCATCATTTTTGCTTTCACTGGTGGGTTTTAGAAAAGAAAGCCTGACTTTACCCACTTTTTACTGGAGCAACTTTGAAAAAGTGGAGTGAAGTCCAGCTGGCTTTGGGTGGGGTCCTGTGACGCAACGGCTCCCAGCTCAGCTGTCCCTATTGCTTGATCCAAATGTCCCCGTGTGGTTCTTATATGGTTTTGCTAAAACTGGAAAGAAGTTACAGCCAGCGCGAGTATAGTGTTTATAACGATTGGTTTTGAGTAACTCGTTGGTATTTCAGGATTCAGCAAATGCTGATAATTTGTGAGTAGCTGCTGGAGCAGAGAAAGCTAACATTTAATGGCTGCCTACTAGGTGATGATGCTTTACATCTGTTGTCCTTCGACTTAATCCGCACAACAGCCCTACCGGCTGGTATTATTACCTCCATTTTGTGCGCCGGGAGACTTGCTGGAGGTCGCCTTCCTACTGGGATCTGATTCTGAAGCAGGTGCGCGTTCTCTTGAGCCCTGAGATCCTCTGTGTGGAGATGTCTCCATTACTGTTTCTTGTCCTTCTTGACAACATTTGGCCTTATCAGGGCCTAAGTGAATAAAAGTTTTGTCATCGTGTTCGTCTTTATGAATGTCAACGCAGAGGGTACCCAGTGATCTTACCCGTGGGTTAAGGCTGTGAAGTCGAAAGGATGAAGACAGCAGTTAAAAACAGGTAGTGTGTCCCCAGCTGCCTGTTACATAGTAGTTACAGCTGCTGGGCTACAAGGGCGCTGAGGAGGAACACAGGCGGCTTTTGTCTCTTGGAGCCCCTAGTCCACATTCATGTCTCCCCACAGGCTGCTTCGTGAATGACTATCCTCTTACCTGACTCTCTCACCTCCTTGGCACACGTAGTGTCTGCGCCAGGCTGTGGGTGCTCAGTAAACGTTGGATGGATGGATGGATGTTGGGGAAGTCGGTGCAGGCTCCGAACTCATAGCACTCACCCCTGAAGGCCCACTTACACTCCCAAGACTCTCCCACCCTTAACCCTACAGTTGGAGATTCATTCTTTCTGCTTAACACTTGGTTCCAGGTGTCCATCGTAAATGTGTTGCTATGTCTCTCTGTGAAGAACAGATACTCCGAGGAGGGACTCAAACCTGCTTTGCCAGGTGTTTCTTAGGTGTCAGACTTTCTCCCTGAGAAGAGCTCTTACTTGAGGAGGCATTATGGGGGGAGGAAGAATTGAAGGAGGTGGGTAAATTCTAGGAGGTGGTGTCATGGCCCCAAAGATGGACCCCGGAAATACGCCATGTCACATGGTGGAGGGGAATTAAAGTTGCAGATGGAATTAAGGTTGCTAGTCAGCTGACCTTAAGATAGGGATGTTATCTTGGCTTATCCAGGTGGACCCAAATAATCACAGGGTCTTTAAAATTGGAAGAGAGAGGCAGAAGAGATGGTCAGAGTGATGCAGCAGGACAAGGACTCCATCCATATTTGCCGGCCCTGAAGACGGAGGGAGGGGCCATGAGCTAAGGAATGCGAGCGGCTTCTAGAAGCTGGAAAAGACAAAGGCAATGGTTTCTTCCCCCAGAGCCTCCAGAAGGAGCTCAGCCCTGCAGACATCCTGATTGTAGCTCAGCAAGACCCGTGTGAGGCTTCTGAGCTGCAGAACTATAAAATAATACATTTGTGTTGTTTTAAGCCATTATGTTTGTGTAATTTATTACAGCAGCAGCGGGAGACCAATATGTAAGAGAACACAGTTTGAAAAAGCTGGGATCGCAGTTGAATCGCCCACCTCCACTTACCATCTGGAACAAAGATTGGCCTGAACTGTGAGTGAATTATTTGGACCTGCGTCTGGGTTTAGGAGGCTTCCTAGTGGTCTCCTTGGTGACCCCATCTGCTGGAGACTTGGTGGGAGAGTCACCAGGCCTCCTTGAGAAGATGGGGAAGAAAACACGGTTCAGCTCATTTCTGCCGATTTAGTCTCCAATGAAATCACCCAAGAACTGTTTGGGTGAGTTTGACAAAGTGGCAGTGGGATAAGGATTCAGAAAACACCTCCCTTGGTCCTCCGTTTGAGAGATTTCAGGCATTTTAAAGTCCCCTCTGAAAGGGGAACACATTTTATTCAAATTCCTGGCCCAGCTGCAGAAGTGTATTAGCATTTTTGTTTTGGTTTCAAAGTTTCTTCTGGATTGATAATGGTAGCAGCTCAGCTGGAGAAAAATGCACACATGCACACACATGCACACACTCAATCACATGTGCATACACACACACACACATGCACACCCTCATACACATGTGCATACACATGCATACATGCACACATGCACACACACACACACACACACACGTGCATACACAGAGTTCTAACAGCTCCCAACGTTCTGTTCAGCAGAAAATGAATTGGATGGGTGTCCATATATGTAGGTTTGCCTATGCTCAGTATTTTAGGGGACTGAGAGTGGCCTGTTATAAATATTAAAACAAAATTCAAACGTTTTTTAGTTCTTATATGCTAGGTGAAGTGCTAATCAGGTTACATGTGTATCTTATGTAATCCATAAAATTGTGTAAAATAGATAACGTTCCTATGCCCATTTTATAGATGAGAAAGGAGGTTATAGTCTAAATGAGGTCGTGCAGCAGACCTGGCCCTCCACCCTGGTCTGTGTGACTCCAGATATGAGCTCGTGGTGCTTACATGCTCCTGACGGCCAGGTCGCTGAGTTTGCGCCCTGGCTCTGTGTTCACCAACTTTGTGACTGAGGGCATTAATATTGTTGTGTCTTAATCCTTCATGGAAAATAGATGCAATAATAATACCTACCTCAAAGGGTTGTTTGTGGACTAAATGGGTCAGTAGTAGTTAAGCACTTTGAACATTGCACGACACCTAGGATGTCCTCATATAATGATAGCTATTGTTGTCACCTTAGGGCTGATTTTTTTCTGTAAATTGTCATGTCGCCAGTGGCTTGGATTAAGTGTGCCAGTGAATCGTTTGTGAACGATGGACAGAGCCTATAGTTCACATCAGCCAAAGTTTAAATAAAACAAAACAAGAAAGGAAATTAAACCAATGGATAAATGTATATCTTAATAATCCCTTTCTTTTTATTAATATCATTCTTATAATAACCTCAAATGTTCAGTGGGGCAGTAATTATTGTATTTTTTTTTTGTTAAAATTGGGGAAACTGAAGCCCAGAGAGCAAAAACGACTTGACCAATGTTATACGACGATCAAACAGGAGAGGCCGATCTGCTTCCAGATGTAGTGATGATTCTGCATCATCTCCCTCCCTCCCTTCCTTTCTTCCGTCCTTCCATTCACTCATCATCCACCTAACCGTCGATCCATCCATTGACCCATCCATCCTTCTTTCCTTCCTTCTATCCATCCATCTATCATTTATTACTCAGAGTGTGCCGAGGAATGCAGTGACCAAACCCATTACAGATAAATGTGGAAGTGGACATATTTCTTGAACCTTGGCTCAGTGGATTCTCTCTAATAAGACTGTAATGGCTTCATGAGGTTTTCTTCTCCTGGGGTCATCTTTATCTCTGTCTGTGACCTGGCTACTCCTAAATATTTTTCTTGCGCTTATTCGGGAAGCATGAATATTTTAATGAGATACTGTGAGGACTTGATGCTCACCACTGATGGTATGAAATGGACTTTAGCATGTGAAGAACTCAAAAGATATGTTAATAGTCCTATGTATTGTAATGAATTTAGAAAAAAAACGTGTAATGAGCATATTTCAGGGATGGTGTTTTGGTGATTTTCACTTGGGATGAGGCTCCTGTAGGGACCCCCCTTAGATGCCGTGTGCAGGTCTCAGCCCTCTCCCTGACACACAGATGCAGAACGGATGCTCTGGGTGTGACACCTCCTCCCTGAAGCCCACGGGGAAACCCCCGACAGGAGCCGGGACTGGAGAGGAGAGTGCAGCAAAGCAATTGAACTGTCAGTCATGGTAGGAGGAGGCCACCGGCGAGACGGCACTGACTACAGACAACTCCTCTTTAGCACCGAGGCTTCTTGGCCTTAGCTTGGAAAAGTCTTCACTCTATTTGTGTTTCAAGAGCTTTCTGGATGAAACCTCCCAATTGCGAGATCGTATGCACGATTGCAGCTGGCTTTGCAAATTAGCATATCTTGCAGACGTATTAGCTCATTTGAACAACGTACACTCATCCCTAGAAGGCAGCTTAAGCCGCCGTCAGTACTCCACGCGCGGGACAGGAGAAGGTGGCGACCGTGGCTGGCAGGAGAGTCGCTTCCTGGTTCAGATGACCTGGCGGGGAGCTCCTCTGAAGAACCCACTAAAAATATTTCGAACATGATGAAGACACACTTGAAAGACTTGCTGAAAGGTATTCAGGGGTGTTTTCCCCATCTCGACGGGAGTGGCGAGTGGACAGAGAACAAATTCTCATCACCTCCAGGATGTGGCGAATTATTTATTCGGAAGAGCAGACTCCGGAGACTGCCTAAACCCAAAGTTCCTTATGCCATTTGGGTTAAGGATTAATTCTCGGTGTCCAACATGACCAAGGTGAGATGGTTGACTATTTCTGAGAATGTAAAAATGGGAATTGGTTTTCTTGGTACTAACTTATATTCGGTCTGAAAACTGGAATCATCTAGAAGACAGAAGTGCCTGAAGCAGAGATTCTCAACGTGGGGCCCCCAGGCCAGCGGCCGCCACCCCCCCCCCCCCCCCCGAGAATCTTCTGAAAGGGCAGCTTCGCAAACCTTGCCTCAGGCCTGCAGGATCAGAAACGCTGGCAGGGGTGGCACCAGCCCTGCGTCTGTTTTCACAGGTCCTCTGGGGGTGCTGCTGAACCCTCCACTTTGAGAACCGACTGGAAGCTGAATAGCCCATCACTCACGACTGATGGTGGAGAAGTCCATCCTTCTCACTGAGGAGGTAACTTGCCAGTACGTGTTTTAGGGGAATTATTTAGACTTATCATGACCTGTATTTCTTTTAAAAAATCTAATCTTTTAAAATATAGCTAAACTGTTTTACTTAAGTCATGTTCATTTTACGGATACCTTCTATTTGTGATGAGCGATATTTAGTGTTTCATTAATGGTAATAATAAGAACTTCATTCAAGAAAACAATGAGTATTTTGAAAAAGAAAATCATAGGTTAGGTTAGTTAGCAATGGTACAGTTGGTATTATTTGTATCTTCTTTTAGTATTTCTATAGTGAGTGTGTATTACCTTTGTCATCAGAAAACAATACGTGTTCTAAATACAAGTAAATCAGTAGGTTTTAAAATGTGCTGTCGCGGGGGGCGGGGGGCGCGGGTGGTAAAGATGGGGTAGGATGCTGATGGGAAGTGGATGTACTTATTGTTTTTTTCCATTTTTGCAATTAGCTTTTGACTGACTTACTAACGGCGTTTTAACATAAAACGTGCAAATGTGTGACTACAGAGTTCCGTGATTGCCCTTCAAAACCTTGCTGGAAATGAGCGTCCGGAAAGTTCTGCCCATAGAGAGGATTTTTAAACATGTCACTTATTTCCCTTTAAACTTACATACAGTAAACTTCTTTCTTGTGGTGGACAGTTCTGACGTTTCCTGGAGTCATGTGACTACCGCGATTAAGACACAGGTCTGTTCCATCGGCCCCCAAAATCCCTTGTGCTGCATCTCTGGAGTAAATCGCTTCTTCTATTCCATCCCCTGACAACCACTGTTCTGTTCTCTGTCTCCATAGCTCTGCCTTTTCCAGAATGTCGTATAAATGGAATCTTACAGGATACGGCCTTTGGGTCCAGTTTCTTTCACTGGCATTTGAGATGCATCCATGACTGTTTTGTTAGTTTGTTTTAATATGGACGGATTGCAGTTTGTTTTCCAGTTGGGCAATTATAAATGGCTCTAAGCAATCAGGGTACAGATTTTTTGTGTGAACATAGTTTTCACTTTTCTTGGGCAAAACCCTAGAACTGGGGCTGTTGGGTCACACGGTAAGGGCGTGTTTAGGTTTACGAGGAACCGTGAACCTAGTCTCCAAAGTGGCTGCCAGTTTGCATCCCTACCAACAACGTATCAGACTTGCAGCTCATCCACATGCCTGCCCATCCGTGGTATTACCAGTATTTTTTTCCCGGCCATTCTAAGCGCTATACGGTAGTTTTAATTTGTCTTTCCCTGGTGGCTAATGATGTTGAATGTCTATTCGTGTGTTTGCTGCCGTTTTTATATCGTCTTTGGTGAAGCGTCTGTTCACGTTTTTTGTCCATTTTTTATTGAGTTGTTTGTTTACTTACATTTGAGTTTTGAGAGTTCTTTGTGTATTCTGGATATAAGGACTTCATCGGATAATGTAATTTACAAATATTTTCTCTGAGTCGGTGAGTTGTCCTCTCACCCTCTTAAGATAGAGAGTAGTTAAAGTGCATTATTTGAGGTCCTTGCATGTACTTTTTGGAAGTAAATGAAGACCACCCAAAAGAGAACAAATAGACGCTCTTTGTTCAGCGGTGGCTCTAGCAAGGGGCTCGGCCACCATCCCTCGTGTTTGGCAGAGCCTCAAAGGAGGCAGAGGAGTGGGCGAGCTTTATGGTGGAGAAAGGCGGGGGGCTCCACGTGAGCCCCGACTGGAGGCTGTCGGCCCGGGGAAGCCAGAGGCCGCTCCCTGGAAGCTGAGCATCGCGTGGGATGTGTCTGCAGAGCGTATTTGACTTTCTCTGGCTGGTCCTGCACCAGAAGCTGAGCATCGCATGGGATGTGTCTGCGGAGAGTATTTGACTTTCTCTGGTTGGTCCTGCACTGGAAGCGGGAGCAACGATGAGAGAAGCTGGCAGTTACTGACCCGTCTTGGCCTTTCTGGGCTGATTAGGGCAGAGGCTGTGGTTTGGCTTCCTGGGCTGGTCACTGCTGGGGTCGTGGGTCAGAATTCCACTGTCATCTGTCGTCTGGCCATGGTCTGTTTGTATGTTCAGTCTCTCACTTTATTTATGGCAACCAATATATATTCTGTGGCTGGGCCTTGAATAAGCAGGCTACGCCTGGGCCGGTAAGAGCCAGGGAGCTGGTCCGAGAACCACTGCAGGAGGCGGTTGGCTGGGCCGCGCTGAACCTGCCTTCTCCGGGGAGTATTTGGGACTGCTTGAGAGTGGCAGGACCCAGAGGGCTTCGGGGAGGAGGGAGACCAGCCCATCAGTACGTCAGCGGCCAGAGCATCTGCTGCTGGCCTTGGGGGAGCCGTGAGAGCTCCCTGTGGGTCGTCCCACCGGCCCAGCACACTGCACCCCTGGGCTGGCCTTCCCTTCTGAGCAGCTTGGCAGGTGGGCTGCAGGAGCGGAGTGTCTTGTCTTCCCCGAGCCCACGCAGGTGGGGGTGAGGTCCCTCACCTGATCTTGCTTCTGTGCCGTCGCTACAGCATCTGCCTGAGAGCCCAGGGTGAGCTCAGCTTTGTCCAGCCCAGGAGGGGAGCGGATCCTGGGGAGGGGCCCGCAGGGAGCCCCGAGCCCGGTGACTGTGGAAGGGAGGCAGCAGTGTCAGCAGGGCTGTGGCGTGGCTGCAATCACCCTGCTCCTCGTGGGTGCTGGGCCCTTGCTGCTGTCCAGACAGGCGTCCTGTGTGTAGCCAGATGCCCTGTCACCTTTGTCCACTGGGCTGTGGCCGCCTGTGACAGCAGTCACTCAGTGTTTGGCCGAGGGAAGCGGCCGCTGGCAGCTGGCAATCAATATTGCTGAAGTGACTGCCTTTTTGCATTTGAAATGGCATCTTTCAGTTGCAGGGACTTGCGGTGTCAGTGCAGGTCCGCAAGATCGAAGGCTGCTAGGCCACCAGCGGGAGGGCTGGTGGGAGAGCGAGACTTTCAGAGGGGGCCCTGGGGCAGAGCACGAGGCCCTGTCCAGTGCCTTTTTCCTTCTTCTCTCTCCGCCAGGGTCATTCCGGCCTCCTCCGTGTCTCTTCTGTGTATCACTTCTTCAGGGAGTATTGGGAACCTTTGGGCTGATTATAGGTGAAATGAAGGAAAGTCTGACTCTTCCCCTGATTTTTAGGGACATACGTCTTTAGCTTAAAACTTTGCTGCCCTCCGAAAGGTAATGCATTTGGGAAGATATAAGCTATTTACATCATAGTATGAATGAGCTCTGGAACTTTTCCATGTGCCAGGAGGTGGGTCAGGCAAGGCCTACATATCACCGAATCAGCCCCCAACCCGGCCTGGTTCCTGGGCCCTGAGATCGGGAAGGTGGGGTCAGGTGGCCTTCTCCCAGTGGGTCAGGGCGTGGGGCACAGGCCACAGGGGGAAACAGAGTCTGTAGACAGCAACTTTCTCTCCAGCCCAAGCCTGAACCTGCAGGGGCCCCAGTGTTTGTGGACAGCGGGTCTGTCTGTTCATGTGACGGAGGGAAAGTGTTGACTGCTTCAGTCCTGATCTCTATTTCACTCTGGGCTGGGCAGGCCGACCAGCCACTTCGGAGCCAACTGGTCCAAATGGAGTTTCTTTCTCAAGAACTCAGTGCCCTCTCCCCGCACCGCCTGCCCCATTCGCTCTGAACAGCTGCTAAGTTGCTTGGACCACAAGGAACTGTTATTTCACAGAGAACAGATCCCTCACAAACCCTGCTCTCTACAGATCTCTGTGTCTCTCCACCTCTGTATCTCCTGCTCTAGGAATCTCAGTAATCTACTCACATGGAGTCAAGGTTGCTTCGGGATAAAGCCCAGATCTCCGACAGGGACGTCTCCGTAGGGCTTGCTCTTCTGAACTCCTCCCTGAGAGCTGCCTACCTTTGCCCCTTGGCTCCCTCTGTCCTTCTGCAAAATAGGGGTGATGGTGGAGAGAGGCAGGCCAACTGTAAGAGGCAGGACACGTCATCCTGAGCTGTCTGCAAGTGTGAGGTGTGTCATTCGTGGTGGTGGCAGTGCTACCACTGTTCTCAGGACGCTGGGACTGCGTGTGCACCACGCACTTTTTAATTTTTTTTTTAAACATGCACTTTTTTTTTTTGCTCTACGCGGGCCTCTCACTGTTGTGGCCTCTCCCGTCGCGGAGCACAGGCTCCGGACGCGCAGGCTCAGCGGCCATGGCTCACGGGCCCAGCCGCTCCACGGCATGTGGGATCTTCCCGGACCGGGGCACGAACCCGTGTCCCCTGCATCGGCAGGCGGACTCTCAACCACTGCGCCACCAGGGAAGCCCACCATGCACTTTAAAGAGGATCTTTATGGAGTTTATTTGAGGGGAAGGAAAAGATTAGTCAAGTGAAGAAACCCTGGCCCTAAGAGACAGACCCTCGGAAGTACCATCCTCCGTCAGCTTCTGACTTGCGTCTCCCGTTGGTAAACGGGGAGGACTGTCTTTCCCCCACACAGTGGCCACTGCGGTCATCGTGTTAAATATAATTAAAATAAATTCCGTCTGAGGAAGTATCCCTGCTGTTCTGGAATGTCGGGCTCTGGACAGCACCACCTGATTTCATATGGAAGCTTTTTGGACAGTGTAGAAATGCTGCTCGGAAGTACCATTTGGGGAGAAGTCTGCTAGGGGGCTTCTAACGCGGCTTCTGCTCGTCGCCAGGCTGGCCAACACGGGGCATCTGGAGAGGACTGGGGTCCTGGGGGGTAAGCAGCTCTCAAGGAGCTGTTCCTTCCCCATCGTGACGCCGAGCTGCGAGGCACGGCAGGCCCTGGGCAGTGGGGTCCCTGGCAGCACACGGCCGGCTCCCCCGCAGGCCTTCAGCTGCCCCTGTCCCGTTGCCCCTCCGTGTCCCAGTCTGAGCCCTTGGCCCGACACCAGCTCCATGGCCCGGGGCCCCGGCTGTCTTGTGCCCTGAGTCCCTTGCTTGGAATATGTGTGCATTTGGACTGCGAGCCTTCCTTCTTTCCATCCCCCAACGTTCCCATCCCTGCCTCCGTGTGAACCCCCTGCCCGCTGGAAGGTTGGATGGCACCAGGGTAGCGTGGAAAGAGACGTTAATGCCGACGGGAGCGTCCCTTAGAGGGCCTGGGCCAGGAGTCACACAGCTGGGCCCACCTCACCCCTGGCCAGGGACCCCCCCACTCACAATTTTAGAAAAACGAAGCCTCTAGGAGCTCAGGGCTGGTGGTCCATTTTTGACCCTTCGCTCTTCCCCTGGCGTCCTGGCGGGAGGGAGCGCCCTGGATTCACAGCTTGGTCACAGGGCGGCTGTGAGTGTAAAGGCCTCGTGTCTTCCCCTTTCCTACAGGGGATGGCCTGTTTGTTGTTGTCCGTTTGTTATTGTTGTTCTTAGCTGTTTGCATGCGAGGTCTCTATTTGGGGCCGACCTGTCCCAGAGCCAACCTTGGGGCACCATGTGTCTCAGAGGCCAGAATGCCTGCTGCTTGATGGTACCCAGAGCTGGGAGAGCTCGGCACGGCAAAACAGAGAGCGGGCCCACAGCGCATCAGACCCAGATGCTAACGGCTTTATTCTGACTCTGTGCGCTTAGGCACATGCATCTCTTTTCCCTGGAGATCTTCGAGTTGGCTGGATGGCTACTTTGACTGCCAGATTCAAAAAGAAAAGGCCCATAAAATTCACAAATGCACAGTCACATGTGTAGTTTTTGCTCAGCTGCGTCTCTGAGTGACCTAAATGTGGGCACTGGGGCCCGTCTTTGCTGTTTGACTGTTTAAGGCTCAGAAGTGCCCAGATTTCCAGTGCACAGAATCATCCCAATTCCACGTATAGAGCAAAGGGGCTGGAGTTTGGGTTAAAGAAAGTAATGCATCCCAATTTAATTTATAAAACGTTATGTTTTCTTTCAGCAAGGACACTTCCTATGTACACATCAGTGAGGGCAGTGGTATTAACAAAGATACCTGATATGTAGCGAAGAGAGCTAAGCCTTCAGTAGTTGAACCTTCAGACGGTTTCTTTTCTCAGCCTTTTACATTCTGAGTCAGAAAATCTTAACCTACAATTTCTTTTGTTGGGAATGAGTTGTGCATTGCTCCTGGCTGGGATTCCAAGTGTAACATGAACCGATGATGTCAAGGGCTTCCATGACCTTGATCACAGGTCTGCTCATCCCGTGGAGTGTGGATCCGACCAACCCTTGGAGAGAGGTGACTTTTTTCTCACTGAGGACTCCTGGTTCCCTAGGCGCTGGGTCCCTGAGCCTGCAGCTCTCTTAAGTCCAGCCGTACCTCATTTTATTGCGCTTCACGTTTTTGCACTTTGCAGATACTGTGTTTTTTTACAAATTGAAGATTGTAGCAGCCCTGCATTGATCAAGTCCGCTGACACCATTTTCCCAACAGCATTATTTTAAAATGAAAGTATGTCCACTGTTTTTTTAGACATAAGGCTATTGCATATTTAATACACTACAGTACAGTAGTGGGAAACCAAAAAATGTGTGTGTGTTGTCTTATGGCAATATTTGCTTTTTTGTGCTGGTCTGGAACCAAACCCGCAGGGCCTCCGAGTTATTCTTGCAGAAGATTGAGTGCTCCAGTTTGGGGAAAATAGTGGTGAAACCGAGAATTTGGTTGCTTTTGGATCTGAAAAATATTTTGTCATGCTGCTTCTATATTTACATGTGGTTTTCAAATATGCCTCCTAAAATATAGCATTAATTTCTTTTGTTCATAGTGCAAAAAAGCATCAAGTGTTTGGAAAGACTCAAACTTCTGACAAATAAGCTGTTTACTCTTCAGTTTGGTCTTACTGAGAAATTTTAACCTTTTTTATTTTCAGGATTAACATGTGGAATTTTAGTCCTAAAGTGATAAGCTTGAGCTAGCTATTCAAAATACTCAGTATATCCCTCTGTTAGGTCATTTCAGTAAGCCTTTTAAAAGCAGACAGTGTTTTTTAATGGCATTTTAGTATCACAAAGAAAAATTTTTTTATTTCATCTTTTATTTCAAAAACTCACATGAAGAACGTACTGTCTCATAGTGTGGGAAAACAGAACACTGTTGTTCTTTTCTTTGCATAACACACATAGTTTGCCTCTGTGACTTGATAATATGCACGATTTTTATTATATTCTTCAAGCTGGAGTCAAGACCAGAGGCCCTCAATTCCCCGAGAGTGAACAGTGTGTACAAATTAGGCTTCAGATGCGACCTCTTGTCTGCCCCAGCAGAGCGGGCTTCCACACTCCTCCTCTGGCCTGTATCACTGCTCAGCAGGTAATTATGGAATAAATGTAAAATCTCTTCTCTTGCAGCATGAGTTCTCAAGATGTCCCTGCTGACTCTGAGTTGTCCATTGTGTGTTCTGGGGGCAGCGTGCTGTCCAGTGTGCCTCTCACACGAATGCAGAGTTGGTTTGAGCTCTGCATACGAGGGGGCTTTGCCCAACCGTGCAGCAAGACGCCTGTGAGAGCACACAGGTGAGGATAACCGCCATTAATATCAGTGACTTCCCAGAGTGACGTCACTGAGGAATTTCGCCCATTGCTTCTTCTCATTTCCTGACCATAAGATCTAACTAGTGGCCAGATTTACACACTTCTCAATAAGTGTGACTTGACCTATTTCTGCAGGGAAAGCTCTGCTCTTGAGCGCCGTTTCTGCAGTTTTGGTCTCTTTTCCCCCCTCTGATGCCCTCATGCCACTAATTGCGATTGTTTTATCAAAGACACTGGATCTAGTGATGCACAGATTGGCAGGTCAATAAGAGTCAATTTTCAGTTAATCCTCATCTTACTTCCTAATAGCGCTTGACAATTTTGGATGCTTGATAGACATCCTCTGTTGCAGATTCACTTTTTATGACGTATGCTTGTGTTGAAGTCTGTTCATTATTTACATTCACTGTGCTGGAATAGCTAGGTTATTAGTTTCGTTTTAAAAGTTTAAACAGTGATAAATATTAAAACTACTCTTTATTTTAAAAATGTAATAAATTTACTTTATATTTAGTAAATATTAACACAATTATTAACTATTAAAATTATTTAAAAATTTGAACTTTGGGGTCATGGATACATTTTGGGTATTGGGGAGACAACACAGCATAATTGCAGCAATAAACATCCATGTGATGAATGTAACCGACACACAAATAGTTTGAGAACGTTCTAGGCGAGGTGTTGGCACTGTTTCCTGAATATTACCTGAGAACTGCCCAGCGAGATTCTTCCAGGGCACGCACTTTAAGAAAACACCAGTTAGTAGGGACTTAAGGAGATTTCTGAGTCAATCATAATAGAAATTGTAAATTTGTGAGGTGGTGTGTATGAAACAGTCTCATCACTTTTCCTATTCAACCACGAAACCGTCAGCAGATCACCTGACAGCTGGGAAGCATGACCACGTACTTCACATTTGTTAGATCACGTTAACCCTCATGGCAGGCTGCGAAAGCCGACGTTATCACCGTTTATAGATAAGAACCACCAGGCCTCCTGGTGACCACAGAGCAGGGAAAAGCTGAGGCTCGCCTGCCCTGGGCACGCTGGCAGACTTCGGACTCCGGAGGGGAAGACACAGGGAGGAAGGTTGGATCTTAGGAGAGAAGTTGTGAGGTGTCCCTGGGCACGTCCTCCTCTGTGGCCTGAAGGGGGGACAGGAAAGTAGGCTGGATCGCACTGCTCAAATGCAAACATAAATACGCTCCAGGTGTGAGCTGAACCGTGGCTGTCCATCCAGCCCAAAGAGCAAACACCCTCTGAAAACCTGTGTTTCCTCTTAAAAGTGCATGCAATTTTGTTTTCTAGTGCATAATTTATCCTCCTGGTATTAATGTTAAGATATTTTAAATTACAATAGATTGAAATGGGAGCTTTTAGACTATGCCTGGTGCTCAGACCCGCCCAGTACATGCCTGTTACTTCCGGGATAAAGGTGTCCAGCTCTAGCTCGATTAGCCCCGAATATGTAATTCGGTGATTCTGCAGTAGGGTTTGAAAAGGTTAAAAAAAAAAAAAAAAGAAATCAATCCGACTTTCTCATTGATGTAATGGAGTGGTGTAGGCAGCTGACCAACTCGATCTGGGTGGCCTGGGACTTTCTGGTTTTAGCATGAATGTCTGAAGTCCTCGAGACGCCTCAGTCCAGAAAACCAGGATGGCAGGTGAGCCTAGCAGAGGGTGTGGGGAGAACCTCTCCTGCACAAGTAGCTTTAATTCTGCCGTGTGACGCTTCCTCCCGAGCTCAGCTCGGGGAGCAGGTAGTGGCCTTGTCTTCATTTTCCCAGGGCAGATGTGCCGGGAGGTTATTTTGAAAGGCAGGCAGTCCATGAAAGACACACAGACCCATGTGATGATAAGGTTTCGGCCTAATACAATGAATAAATTGCTCATTTTTGAATTGTATAAATATAGTTCATTCCAGGCAAAGCTGCCTCTCTCTCTCATGCTGTCGGGGCCTATTAAAATTTGGATTATCACTTGTCTGTGGCAGCTTTAACTCTTCCAGTTACTTCTTTCTAATATTTTAATGTGTAACATTCGTAAATCCACAGCTCGTGTCTACTCATCACGGCTCCTGTCTTTCTTGAATTCCCTGCCGCCCTATTTAGATTATTTTAGCAGCTCTTCACACTTCTGCCCCCTCTGTCTGTCCCTGCACGGATGGAGGAGAAACTTGGATGTCAGAAGTCACCAGATGTTATGCCACCAGCAGGACCACATCCTTGGGCAGAAGTGTGGGGACTACACTCAACCCGCCAGGGGGTTTGAATGTCCCCACCCTCAGTCTCTTTCTGTCTCCATCTCATTTCCTCCCAAGAAATTAAACCTAGTTTTAGTTAAGAACTTGGAAGGGGTTAAAGTTCTTTTTTCCCCCAGAGTTGCCCCTATTTTTAAAATTTGGATCCAGCCGTGGATTCAAGCAGTTAGCCAAGCTCTACTGTCTTTGCCGCCTCTCCAACTTCACAGGTGAAAACGTGAGGCTGTACTCAGAGGCGGGAGACCATTTGGTGATCTTTTCGGTAAATACAGCCACAAGAGGGGAAGAAAAGAACAATACCCAACAGATCCAACCCCTGAGTCCAAGCAGACAGTTTAACCCTTGGGTCATCGCGTTTGTATTCCACTTACTGGATTGTTAATAGATTTTCTTCATTTGTGTGAGACGTTGCAAATGATGTGTGGAGGCCGGCCGGTTCCTCCAGCGCCGGGACCAGAGGTCCACCTGTAAGGAGACGGCGTTAAAAGCTGCTGCAGTTGTTGTCTCCTGACAACATCCCAGCTGTAGACTAGCAATCGCAATCCTCGGGTGGCAGTTTTAATTATCGGCACCGGCGATACCATCAGCAAGTGTGTAATTACGTGTCAGTGTCCTGGCTGTTGGGTATGAAAAGTGGAACCAGTGAAATGATGATTGTGGAAGCGGTAGACTCATATTTAAACAATTCAAAATGTGTAACTGGCAGTGTCATTAAACAGAGACAGTCTGACCCCAGCTGTCACTTACTTTTCCTTATGCAGATTTGTTCGTGCTGTCTGTCAAAAGAGCTCCATGGGCTGAAATGGGACAGAAGAGGTGACATAATTCTCAGAGCAAAGAGGGCTGCTCTCCTTAACTCCGCAGAGGCGTTCTTTTAGCCTAAACAAATATGACGGCGAAACTGTAAATGAACCGAGACCATTACAGGAAACTCTGTAGACTTTTGCTGATGAATACACACAAAAGCAGGGTATCAACAGACGTCCCGGCCTTAAAAACTGTGAGTCAAGCCTGCCCGATTACCAGGCACTTAAAGAATTGGCACTGTGATAATCAGAAGGGTTTATTTTTGAAGAAGACAATGAGATGACCCTTTTAGTTGTAGACTAAAATTTTGAGTCCAAGATGAAAAAATAAATGGGAAGCTCATTTTGGAAAATGCTTGGTATCAACAAAGAGAAGTGTGATTGGATGAAATTACGACACAGAGTTCAACTTCAGTCTGGCTTAGGTTATAAGCTGTTATGGCCTCAGATGCCTTGAATCCAGTTTAGAAAACTGAAATACGTACGCTAAATAAATGAAGGTTAAAAATAGACCTGAGTGGCTTTCTAAGAATGGTGTGTTAAAAGTAAGGAATAATCAAATTTCTGCCAACGTAATTACATAGTGGTGTAGCCTACAACTTACACACTTGCGGGAGATGGGAGAAATGCACGTTTGCTCTCAAAAGCCTTCATTTACTGGTACTCGAAAAAAGAGCTGGGTAACCAAGGGTTAAGTCTGCATGCATGCAAAAACAAATGAAAGGAGAGTTTATAAACTGAACTGTGGAGGTTAAGTGCCAGGGTTAAACTAACACAATGAACTGGGAACACAAAGAAAAATGTTTCTTTAATTTTTAAAATGTTTGCATTTCTCATAATAAACTGAACTTGCAGTTGCATACAAACAACATTATTTCATACCCTGAAGACACTACAATTTAGAGCTTTTGGAACTCAAACTGATTCTGGAAGCAATGCTACCACTACAGAGGGGCTGTGGCAATTGTGATCTTCTGAAGGGCATCCAATCACACTTCTAGTAGCACGTTTGCAAGCAAACGCGGGCTCCTGCACACACACAGGTAGGAGGCGTTTCAAACAGGGTCAGCTTTGCATTTATTTCTAGTTTCAAAGGTAAAGTTACTGATTTCCTCACAGGCTAACGGAAGCCATATTAATTGCCATGGTACGTTCAGATTTGAAAGTAGTACATAGGCACATGTTAAACCCTCTAAGGATTAATTTGTATTTTATCAGCTGTGAAAAGGGTAATTTTTTACATATCTTGATTTAAGAGGTAGCCTTATTAGGCGTTCACTGGAAAACAAATTCTGCATATATTTTGTAGCAAGGTTTTAAACAAAATCATTTTTTTTCCTCCTCAAAAGTAGTAGAGTGCGACTAGGGAAGCAATTAGTATTTGTATCTTAGACAAACGCGGTTTTGGAGTTTTCTTGCTTATAAATATTTGTACGGCTGGTTAAGGGAAAGAATGATAGAAAATGATGTCCTGTTATATATTTTATCATAGTGGACACGGGGGTTTAAGGGGTTTCAGACCACGTTGTGTGCCTGTTGTGTGAATTGTCAAGCTACAGTGACAATTCTGTGTTATTTTTTGGGAGAGAGCATCCCGGGTTGCTAACATTCTTGCTGGGGTGGCTGTGGAGCTGCAGGTGGAAGGCACGGTGTGTGGGATCCCACTGCTGGATCCCTTGGTTGCTGGTGGAGAAGCCTGTGGCCTCGGCCAGCGTTGGTGAATTCCTTCCTCTGCCTTCTGTGGGCATGGCTGGTGGGCTCGGGTTCTCATTATCTCAGGGAAGTGGGGTCATCTGAGAAGAGCCCGCTTTTCTTACGTGGAAGCAAGGGATAAAAACCGAAAAGTGTATCAACAAACCCATGTTTCTGATGACGTTTTCCTCTGGAAAGAGGACTGGTTTCAATGGTGCTTATCGTATTTTCACCCCCAAAATATTAAGTGGCCCAGTTAAGTCAAGGAACATGGTGAAAAAAAAAATTATTCTCTGCAACATGCTTCGTCGAATGGCTTGTCCTGTTTTATTTGAAAGGTCCCCAGAGAGATCACTCCCACAACTTCTTTTGGAAGTCTGTTCTGCAATCTAATAGATCGTATTGTCAAACGCTTTGTTAAACTTTTACCGGAAGATGTGTATTGCACTCGGCATTGGCGGTTCTTGAAATCCTATCAGGGAAGTGCAATCAAATGGGTCTCCCATGACTTGTTCCTTGGTTGACGTGGAATGGGTTCCCCTCTGCTTCTGGCATTTTCCAGGGAGGGGAGCCTACCCTTCCTTTAAGCCTCATATGGGCACCGTGTTCATCATCGGGAAGAGGTTGTCTCAGGGAGCACGGCCCGTGATTTCCTTTCAATTTTGACAAATCGGGCCCCATGAATTTAAACTTCCAGAGATGGAACGCGCCTACCCCTTCGTGCTAGAAATCCCTAACTTGGGAAATTGTACACGTTCACTGGGGTTCAGCTTCCGTGCCGGGTGGTTTGGCCCACTTTTCCCTTTCAGATGACTTTGTGTGACTGAGCTATTTTAAATGATTCTCCCCTGCCTCTAGTTTGCTTCTGAACTGAAAAAGTTTTTATCTGCAAATAAATAGCTGATCCATCCCAGGAGTTTGCTGCGTCCTACATGCTCCCTTCCTCTGGAAGCTCCAATGGACTTTTGACTAATGAGGTGACCTTAAGAGAAGTCCTTGCCTGGATGTCCAGTGTGGCCGGCCGTGGTGATGACAAGTGTGAATTGCACACAAGGAAATGGCCTCACACAGTTGCTTCTGATGTCAGTGCTTGGCCAGTAAGCCTGTCCTGCTCAGGCTCAGGCCCCAAATAACCTCCATCACCATATATTAACGGGATTCAGGCCAAGTGTTAAGCGCCCATTATCACGTGTCACCACGCCATTAAGGGTTACGCAGTACTGATGATTTTAGGCATTGGTACTTGACTGTCCTCTGTCAGGAGAAGATAGGTTTAAAATGAATGAATTTCAATTCTGCCTCTTTGAGGCAAATTCTTACCAATCTACAGAGAAGGGCATGTGACATATTTGACCCATGGGTTCCCTAGAATATTATTTTTCAATGAAAGATTTAAAGGAGAAACAAATGAAAAAGAAAGGGAAAAAACCCAAATAGTTCTTCTGTAAGCACTAGGCTTTCTCAAGAATCCAGGAGCTTCTAGACTCTTCATCCTCAACGTGTGGCCAGACCACCCAGCTTCCTCCTTCTCTCTCATTTCTACTTCCCGGTGTCCCCGGCCTCCACCTGTGCCCCCAGCTCCTCTGGGGCTCCGGTCCTGGCATCCTCGGGAACGTGGCTCTCCCTGAATGTGGCGCGCCAGGCTGGGGCAGGAGCCGGAAGGGTGTCCAGGAGCCCATCTGATGGGGTTCTGGAGGGACCCTGCCTTATCCGCTGCCGCTGGAGGCCGTGTCCGAGGGAGACTGTTCAGGCGCCTCGTCAGCAGTTGTACCACCTTAAGTATTTTCCTCAGACTGGGAAGTTGCCGTAATTATAATGTTTTGTTCATTTCATTTCAGACCTTACTATTCTGTGGGAATGATAGTGAACCCCACTGGAGCATACTGAGGTTGTCATGATGAACTCTCCAGACTAGATATCTTCATGGGGTCTGTTGACTTACCCCATGAATATTATGAGGATTGCTAAGACCACTGCATCAGACGAGTGTTACCGGCGATGTCACCAGAATGTCATTGGGGATCTGAAATAATATTTCACCTGTGCCAACCAATCAAAGCTCTCTGAGGCCCGTCAGCCAGGAGGGCGGCAATCTTGTCTCAGCAGCATTAGACCAGCCACAGACCTCCAGGGCTGAGAAAAGACATGCTTTTAACTGCTGAAATACTCCATCGACTTTTCCGATGAAAGCATGTCACTGCAAGGCACAGTTGTGTACAGGACAGCATGCGTTTCGAGTTACATATTCTCTTTTATTTCTGTATCAAACAAGATATCTAGTATCCAGTCTATTTAATTGATGGGATGAAGCTGGGTTCATTTTGGGATGTCATCCTTCTTCATTACGCCTCGGGTTTTCCTCATCATGAGCTTCCTCAGAGGACAGAGACAAATACCTAGTTTTCACAAGGACGAGGTGTCAGTTGAATGCATTTTAAACACTACCCTCAGCAATTGCAGTCAACATTTTAAATATGGAACAATTACACACTAAAACGACATGAGAAACATGCTTTCTAGAGTGATCGCTATTGCATCTCCGTGGCAAGTGCAATATTTAGAGAGAAATGTTCTTTCCCTAGACTTTACCCGTTTGTAAGCAAATAAAATAACTGTTAACCTAGAAATCACATCCTGGGTGTGTATCATCACCTAAGTATTGCTGGAAGTTTTCTTCCAAGTTGTGTGAGTCTTAGCTTCCTTAGTATTTTATAATTAATGACAGATTTGCAGTTTAATTTTTTTTCTGCTTACAAAGAAAACTCGGGCTTCTTCCAGAAAATTCTCAAAGTACAGAAAAGTAAGAAGCAGCAGCCCATGCCCTCAATTCTACCCGTGAAGGCTGTCAAGTGAAGGGCTGTATTTTTGGCTAATGTGATAAGCTTTTAAAGTTTCAAAAACAATGTCTCGAACTAGTACGGTTTTTATTCTCTCATCTTAAGATATTTGTGACTTCATTTTAAAAGCTTTCCATATGATCGATGAAGTGCCCAGGATTGCTGGGAATACCTTAACGCATTCATCTTCAACATTTCCTGAAAAGCCTGAATTTAAGCTCTGTGCGAGTGCTGACACCATTTTTTATTTCATCAGGAATCTGTCTTTATTTAGCTTGCATCTGGGGCTGACATGACATATCAGGACCAGATGAAGTGGAGTGGAGGAGCCTGGGCCCAACCAGTGGAGCAAAGGTACCGAGCTACGGCTGGGTGGCGTCGAGGTTGACAGCCCGGGGCCTCTATGATTGGTGTCTGGGCCACACAGAGGGAGCCGTGCACAGATTTTCACGCCCAAACGGGCCATGGTCACAGTCACCTAAGAGGTCGCTGTGTCTGCTTGAGGACCCCACACCTAAACCCTCTTGGATAGGGTTTACCACTTAATTGTGTGCATATTGGTTTCCAGGAAATTTGGAAGGAATTGTGGCTGGCTCCGTTCAAAGGCATTGGTTTGTTTCTCAAGGATGTTTGCAGAAGTAACTTGGATGAAAAGGACTCCTTTAAAACTCCTTTGAAACCTCTCTTATCAGCCAACAGAAGTCCTTCTCATCAATTTTGGGGTTTTTACTAAATCTCAGAAGCTATCACCTGACACAAAAAAATCAAGTGCAGATGCAGGCTGTGCGTGAAGACGTCACACGTCCAGGAGAAAAGTCGGAGGGGTCTCTGGGGCCCCCTGGGAGGTTTCTTCTGGGGGGTGAGTCACGGCCGTGGGAGTGACTGTGGGCTGCATGTCATTGCCTCCCAAGCACAAGCGTGTTCAATAACATCTGAGGTGTGCACACTTGGACTCAGGGTGATGCGTGGAGGAGAGACCAGTTCTGAGGCACCATTTTCAGGGAGGTCAGGGACAGAGAGAAAGACCCAGAGCAGGAAATGTGGACCTTTTCTCATTTCAGGGGCAGGATTCTACCCCATCTAGGGTCTCTAGCGTGGAGAGTGAGGTCAGGGATGCCAGCCCCTGGTCACTGCAGTGGCTGTCCACGCTTTAGAGGGGCCACGGTGTGGCTGGAATCTGAGCGCAAGCTGCCAACTGTCAGTAAACCTGGGGGTAAGGAAGCAGGAACTGTCCCCACGCAGCTGCAGAGCACCCAGCAGGCCCTGACGTGGCACCACGTTTAGACCAGGGCATCAGGGAATGCAGGAGGGACAGGCTCGGAGCAGCAGGTGGAGGGGCTGCCACGACACTGAGGACGCAGTTGGACAGCGGGGCCCAGAGGAGGCGAAAGCCACTGGGGTTATTTAACCGGAAGAAAAGAAAGCTGGAAGCAAATGAAGAAGCAGCCCGGGTGCAAACAGAAGGTGTGTATGCGTGCATGTGTGTGTGTGTGTATGTGCTTGTATAAGCATGCATGCATGTGTGTGTGTGTTAAGGGATTTTTTTTCATAGAAATAGGAAAGATTTATTCAGAAAAGTTAAAAATAAACAACAAGGTCCTACTGTATAGCACAGGGAAGTATATTCAATATTTTGGGATAAACCGTAATGGAAAAGAATATTAAAAAGAATGTATATATACGTATAACTGAGTCACTTTGCTGTACAGCAGAAATTAACACAACATTGTAAATCAACTATACTTCAATAAAAAAATTTTTAAAAAGTTAAATGCTGCTCTCACAATTTCTTCACACCCACGAAGGATATAAAGTTCTTCTAAAATAAGTGTGTAGTCAAAAGATGTCTACTGAAAATAACTCATGCGTTTTCCCCCCCTCAGCCTCGCGTTCTCCTTCCTCAGACCCTGACTCCCAGGTCCAAGCTCCTGATGCACAGCCGTGTTCATAACACGTGTCACACACTCATACACTTCCCTCACACCTTCTGGTCTGCTTCTCTGTGGTTCCCCACTTTAATTTTCTCAGAAGGGAAAATCAGTTCCAACGGGTGGAAACGAACCTCGCGTGGACCTCTAACGGCCTCAGTCAGAAGTCCCGTTCGGCACAAGTGATTTAGTCACTAACACGAGTTTCATTGTAAAGCTCTTGCCTGGTTCCAGTCTCTTGCCCAGCACTTCGATCAATAAGGTGTTATTTGCTTCTGCAACCTCGGCCAGCTGTTTCCTGGTTTTGAATTAGCTGTTGAATCAAACATTGGGTTGGCAGGCATCCACTTCTCTGTCTACCTTTGACTGGTGAGCGCTGAGTAGCCAGCAGCTCTGGGGGAATCTCTGTGTGTTTGGGGCAAGGTTTAGGATAAACCTCACTGATCTGTGTTCTTCATCTGACGCCCAAACTCTGATTCTTTTCACTTTCCCTCCCCTGTATCTTTCCTTCTCTGCGATGTCCCTCCTACGGCAGCTGCAGAAGGACAAACCGTAACACAGGGTCTTCCGTCTTCAGTTGGAATGACCTCTGACAGCTCCCTCATGTCGCACTCTTCGCTTCACTGCGGCTGCTTACCGTGCTGTTTGGAGCATAGTTCTGGGAATATAATGTGCTCCAAGACCTGGGACAAGTTCTGCCATCAATATCCTGCCAGTTCCCCCAAATTTGGACCCTCTGGTTCAACTGTGTCCCCATCACCAGAGAGCAAATGCTGGTCTCCTAACACAGCCTCTTGAAATTCAATTTTGCACAAGTTCTCGGCCTAAATCAGCCTCAACTCATAGTTAGTGCTTGTTCTGCTAAGATGTAGTTTACTTTTCAATTTTTCAAGAACATAAATTTGATAACTGTCATGAAAGCCAACACCCTTTGCTATTTACAGTGAAGCTCTCCCCTACTTTGCTTAAGAAAGAAGCAAAGGGTTTTTAAAAAAACCTTTAAAAAAAGCAGGTGCATTAACTATTGGGGTCACTGAAGTTTGTGGAATTGCAAAAGAAGCTGAAGTGAGAGACAGACCACTCACAAAGGACAGCATTTGGCCAAGATCCTTTTGGTTGCAAGTGACCGAATCCCGTGTTGCAACTCCCTACAGGAAAGTAGGAACTCAACAGGATTGGTCAAGTAATTTGGCCGGATCAGAGTTGAGCCTGTGTCCTTGGAGATCTACCTTGTCTGTCTTTTTCATCTCTGGGTTCTGTGTTCTTCTGTTTGGCTTCATTCCCCCCACCCCCCAAGTTAACAGAAAATATGGCCATTCACACCATGGTCAAGGACTAGTAGTTTTGGAGAGAAGAGAGCTAACATCTTAGAGACAGCTCTGACCGGCGTGGCTTGGGTACCACGACTAATCATAGGAACAGTTATAAGGGTGGGGGACATGGTGCTCTGATGTCCTGGGCTGTCAGGGTCCATGCCTGTGCTGGTGGGGAAAGGGTTAGCTCTGCTGGCACCCCATGGAATAGATCCTGCAAGAATGAGGAATTCTGTTCTCAAAAGAAGGAATCCCTTCTGGGTGATGGGGAAACTCCCTGGGCAATCAACTCTCCAGGCATCCAGGATTAGGAGAGATGCAGCCTTTTACCTCTGAAGATGTTGAGATGTGAGCAACACAGGGATTTCAAGTCTACCTGTTTCTTGTATTAAGTGGATGTACTTAATAGCCCTCTATTTGAATATCATCTGTATCTTGGGACTTGGGTTAACACCTTTATTTACCTAAATTCTGAAGACACCTGGTTGCATCGTACCACCTTTCACCTTGGCTAATGCCATCTATTCATTAGCCCCTCATTTGATCTAGTCAATGAATAATAAGATATGTTACATCACTCCTGAGAAAAGCATGGGTTTTTTTCATTAAATATTAGGGCATGAAATTGTTACATCAGCCATTATAGGTTGAACATAATCCCAAGTAAACCCAACAGGTAAATCTCTCTGCCTTCTCAGGTTCACCCAATATTAACTCAATACCAAATCAAAGGATTACTTAGCAACGTTTGTGAGTATTTGGGGTTCATGACCATTCCCAGGACCCACTGCCTTCCAGGACCCACGCCTGTACGTGTGGACACATAAACACATGTACCTGCGCATCCATGTCCTGGTGAACTGCTAAATAGGTTTGACAATATTTATGTCTTCCTAACACTTTTTATTTCAAAACTCTGCCAGGCTATGATCTTTTTCTTCCTTTTTTACGGAAGAGAAGGGTTCCCTTTCCCCTGCCCGTGAGCTGGATTAATAGTTAATGAAGCCTGGGGAGGAGGGTCAGAGTCTGTGGGGTGTGATCAGAGATGAGTCTTTTAAAACACAGCTAAACATGTGTCCTGGCTTAGCTGCCCGCCGGCTTGCTGCTGGGCCTCCTGCAGAGACCATGGTGTTAGAGCCCAGACTCCACTCCCACCCTGGGCTGCAGAGCTGAGCTGCTGCCTGGAGGGGGCGCCTCCCCAAGCTGGAGCCCTCTGCTGCTCAGATGGTGGTCCGGGCTCTGATCCTCAGGGCTTCACTCTCCTTCCATGAGAAGGAAGACTTGGGCTCACTGAAGGAGGCGGGTCGGAACGCAAAGCCATGAGAACAACTTCCTGGTGGCAAAGTCCCGGGAGGATCCTGGGCGGAGGGACCACTGGCGGTTAGAGGAGAATATTGATCTTCCAGGCAAGGAAACCCCATATCCTGCTAGCAAAGGGCATAGCGGCAGAAGCAGTGGGAAGGGGCCTTGAACCTGCAGTCTGAAATAGACTCAGTGTGGCTGTAGGCCTTGGGGGGCGCTCCCAGCAGCTGTTGGGAGGGAGGTTTGGGGACTTGGTGCTCCCTCATTAGTGGATGCCTTGAGACATGGGCTCTGCAGAGGACGTGGGTCAGGTTTTAGGCAGCAGAGCCAGGAGAAGCAGGAGGTCTCCATTCCCTGTGTGAAGCTCAGACACAAAGGATGCCAGGCTGCCATCCTGCCACGAAGCTTACAGTGGAGAAAGATGCCAGGGCTACACAGAGGGTACGGCTTCTTTGGCTGAAAGTGAGCAAAACAGCTCTGGTCCCTGAAAGCGAAAAGGGAATTTCCTGGCAGGATCTGGAGGCCCCAGGGAACTGGTGGGAAGGCTGGAAGATGAGCCAGTCTCCTCCAAAACCTAGAAAACAAGAAGCCCAGGGCGTTCTCCCAGCAGGGGCGTCCGACATGATGGAGACACCTCTGTTCTCAGGACAAAACTCCAGAGCCCCTATTTTCAGATTTCTGGGAGGGAGGAAGCAATGCTTCTAAAGGAAATCTGGGTGCTGCTGGGAAGGGCGTGGATGGTGGGCAGCCCCCAGCCCCGTGTCCACCCAGCGCCCCTGTGAAGTGATTTTCCTGCAGGTCCCTCTGGAAGGAGTACTTTTCTTGGAATCCTTTGTTATTGTATTTTTTCCCTTGCATTTGGCTTTGGACTTACAGTCGGGCGCCCTTAGATCCAGAGGCCCCGACTCCTCATGTGTTGCCCGGAACAAAGCCATCCCCCATACAGAGCATGATGCTTCCAGCGTTTCCCAGGAGCTGCTTAGAGGCTCAGGGCAGCCCGTGATCTGCTGAGAGAGCACTGGTACAGTGCTCTGGTGCACTGGTACCAGTGCATGGCAGTAGCCATGACCCCAGAAGCCAGAGCGGTCAGTGTCAGCCTCTGGGTGGACTGACTTTCCAGTATCAATCCTACAGGCGGGACCTGTCTCTGGGGGTCGACTGCTACCCCTGGCCAGTTGGCATCATCATTTAGCATTGTGCAAAGGGCAAAGCGTGCCACGAGGAGCTGTGGGACTTTGGGAGGGCTTTTGCCTCTCTCTGTTTCTTCCTCAATAGCATGAACAGTCTCACAGGGGAAGAGCAGGTGCTGCGCTCTACCTGCTCATTTCCCACCAGCGCTGTGGATGGATGGATGGATTGGAGGAAGCAGAAGCCTAAGGACTTATCATGCAGCCTAGTCCCCCTGCAGAAGAAGAAATGAGAGACTTTGTTTACGAGCCAAACCAAACTCCAACCAGTGACGCAGCCATAGGACAATCAAAGGACATGTCTTGGGATCCAGATGAAAACACACAGGTACGATCTATCACGTCAACATTTCACATAAAGTACGTATGAAAGGATTTGGTGCCAACGCATGGTGAAACAAGACAGACCTTAAATCACTGGCCTCTGTTTGAACCTGCAAATCTTTTTAATTTTAAAAGTATTTAAACTCGTAACGTTCATAAACGAAGTTATGACAGTTTGACAGAAGAGAGAAGTCGCCGAGCAGGACAAATACTTTCCTAATGGTTTTGCTTTTTTCATTCTTTTAAATATCAAGTAATAATATTTTTTAATGTTTTTGTAAACATGAGATGTTTTAATGCTTGAAAAATTGTATCTCATAAATAAGCTTTATTGTCTGTCAAAAAGGATGAAAATATAACTTTACATTTCTGTTTTAAAGTAATTTTAGTGCCTATTAGCTATAAAGTAACAGTTATATATAATTTAGTGTATGTAGTCACTCGAAACAACTTGACATTTTCACACAAACAGAGAACTATAATAATAGTCTTGGGATTTCATTGGAA